TTCCCCGTGCCTCAGTTCCCCCCCCACCCCATTTCCCAGCCCCAAAGACTCACCATGGGGCCGGGGGAGCCGTTCTCGCCGGGTGACCCCGATTCTCCCTGTGGGGATGGGAAGAGGGTGAGACCCCCCCGCCCCATGCACAGCACCCCCCCCAACCCCCCCACGGGGGGACCGTCACCATCACACACACCCCCCCAATGCAGCCCTGAGGCCACGGGGATGGACACCCTGTCACCCCCAGCACCACGGGGACGGTCACCTCCACCAGCCCTGACGCCACGGTGATGGTCACCCCACCACCCACCCCCCATGTCACGGTGATGGTCACCCTGTCACCTCCAACACCTTGGGAACAATCACACACACACACCCCCACACAGTGCCATGGGAACAGTCACCCCCACCAGCCCTGACACCGTGGGGATGGTCACCTCTCCAGCCCCAAGACCACGATGACAGTCACCCTCTCACCCTGGATGCCATGGACACCCCACCACCGCCCCAACACCACGGTGACGGTCACCCTGCCACCCCCAACGCCATGGGGACAGTCACCCTGTCCCCCTCGATGCCATGGACACTCCACCACTCCCAACACCACGGTGACTGTCACACTGTCACCCCCATCACCTTGGGGACAGTCACCTTGTCACCCCCAACACCTTGGGGACAGTCACCCCCACCAGCCCTGATGCCACGGTGATGGTCACCCCACCACCCCCAAGGCTATAGGGGACAATCACCCTGTCACCCTCGATGTCATGGACACCCCAACACCCCCAACATCATGGTGACAGTCACCCCGTCACCCCCAACACCTTGGGGACAGTCACCCTGCCAGCCCCGAGGCCATGGGGATGGTCACCCCATTAGCCCTGAGACCATGGTGACAGTCACCCTGTCACCCTCGATCCCATGGACACCCCAACACCCCCAACATCACGGTGACAGTCACCCCGTCACCCCCAACACCATGGGGACAGTCACCTTGTCACCCCCAACACCATGGGGACAGTCACCCTGTCACCCTCGATGCTGTGGACACCCCACCACTCCCAACATCATGGTGACAGTCACCCCAACACCGTGGGGACAGTCCCCTTGTCATCCCCCACACCATGGGGACAGTCACCCTGCCAGCCCCAAGGCCACAGGGATGGTCACCTTGCCACACCTGATGCTATGGTGACAGTCACCCTGTCACCCTTGATGCCATGGACACCCCAACACCCTCAACATCATGGTGACAGTCACCTTGTCACCCCAAACACCATGGGGACAGTCACCCTGACAGCCCCAACACCATGGGGTCAGTCACCCTGTCACCCTCAATGCCATGGTCATCCCGCCACCCCCAACAGCACAGTGACAGTCACCCCATCACCCCAAACACCGTGGGGACAGTCACTCCGCCCCAGCCCCGAGGCCACAGTGAGGGTCACCCAACACTGACCTTGGCTCCAGGAGCTCCTGCCTCTCCCTTGGCACCATCCAGACCAGGGTAGCCCTGGGGACAGAGAGATTGGGGGTTCGGGGGGTGTCACCCTCTGTGATGGGGACACT